TTACAATGTTTGAGACTATTAAAAAATGCACCAGGCTCGGCGCCTATAGCTCAACCCAGGGGGACAGCTTGAGGCTCTGTCTCCAAAAAAAAAAAAAAGAAGACAGAATGGGAAGAAAAATTGTTTTAAGAAATGGCCCAAACTTTTCCAAACATAAGGTTATACACGCAAGAAACTCAATAAAAGCATGCAAAAAATGACCAACCCCACCCCCATAACTAAGTACCTCAAAGACAGGGTTTTAAAACATCTTAAAAGTTCCATGGTAAAATGATACTTTACATGTAGGGGAACAATAATTTCAATGATAACTGATCAGCTGTTGGGAGAAAAAATGTAGGCCAGATGACAAAGAAATATCTTCTCTAAAGTCCTGAAAGAAAAACTATCAATCTAGAATTGTATATCTAGTAACAAGATATAGAATAAAAGCAAAATTAAGACATTTTTTAAATAAGAGAAAACAAAAAGAATCTTTTCACCAACAGACCTATACTATAAGAATACTAAAGATTGTTCTAGAAGCTGAAGAAAAATGATACCAGATGGAAACTTGGTCATCAGAGAGGAAAAGAACATTGCAAATGATAAACATGGAGGTAAATATTAAGGGTCAATATTTTCCTCATGATGTCTTCCAAATGTCTGTAAATGTTAAAATTGTGTGCTAAGCTAATATGCTTTGTAATATAATACATACAGCAACTATGGCATAAAGAATAGGCGGAGGAGGGTGGTGCCTGTGGCTCAGTGGGAAGGGCGCTAGCCCCATATGCCAAGGGTGGTAGGTTCAAACCCGGCCCCAGCCAAACTGCAACAAAAAATAGCCAGGCATTGTGGCAGGTGTCTGTGGTCCCAGCTACTCAGGAGGCTGAGGCAAGAGAATCACCTAAGCCCAGGAGTTGGAGGTTGCTGTGAGCTGTGTGACACCATGGCACTCTATACTGAGGGCGATAAAGTGAGATACTGTCTCTACAAAAAAAAAAAAAGAATAGGCTGAGGGTGTATGATTACAAGGTTTCTACTTTAGGTGAAGTTGTACAGTACTAACTCTAAGACTGAAAAGTTGTACTTCTTGAGCAACTACTTTAAAAAATTGTATCGCTAAAAATCCAATAGAAGGTTCACTTCTGCTAAAGATGAAATAACATAGAACAGATTTTTTTCTCTAACCTGAAATAACAACAACAAAATAGACAAAATCATGAAATGCTAATTTTCATAATGGTATGAGGGAATGAAGGCCTGAGAGGAAAGAAACAAATTGAGCGCTATAATTGATTCAGCTTAATGCTATAAGAGCTTCTAGGCTTTGGTCCAAGAAAGGGTAAGCTAGCAAAGCCAGGTGGACTTCCTGAGTTGACAAGATAGACAAAAGAGTCAAAGAAGAGCAAGATGGCTGGAATGCACAGAACAGAACACCAGACAGGAGAAAGCCACTTAAAGAGAAAACTCTATAATTTCAGAGGGGTCTCCAATGAATGTTCAGCAGAGCATGCAGCAGCGTATGAATGTGAGGAAACTATCCAAGGCTACCTGAACTACCCCAAACTATCTATTGGGAGAGATCAGAGAACAGCACTTGGTGCTCATACAGGGCATGGAAGAGTGTCAATTTCCACAGCCAAATGTGAAAAAACTTAACACTTCACTGGGCATAAAGTAGAATACTCAGAAAGGTCTTACATCAATAGTAAGGAACACTGACTCAAATTTTCTAACAAAACAAAGAAGTAAGATCTGAAAGGATTAGACTTTTTTCAAATAACTGAATTCCATATCAAACCTGCAAATATGTTAATAAAACAAAGATATCCATCATCTATAATATCTGGCAAACAAAGTAGCAGAAAAATATAAGCCATAATGAATAATCAATTGAAACAGACCCAGTAATGACACAGATGTTTGAATTAAAAGGTAAAGACATGTAAAACAGTTGTTATAACTGAATTCTATATAAGTAGAATATTAAACAAAAACATGGGTGGTATTTTTTAAAAGCCCAAATTAAGCTTTTAGAGAAGAAAATTACAATGTTTGAGACTATTAAAAAATGCACCAG